CAGGTATGTTAGGCCGCATTTAGCTCCGCATGGCAGAAGTTGAAAGATTTTATATTAATTTGCCATCTCATGCCAACACGTGTTATGTTTAAGCATCTAACGTGAAGTATTCCTGTAGTTTTGAGTACAGTAAGCTTCTCAGTCCTGCCTCTTACAGATTCTTTGTAAGTGGCATTGTAAACAAGATAGTGGGCTGAGATTTATAGACCCTTACATAATCACATTCTCAGTTTACTTACTGCTACACCACGCCTCATCCAAGGGCACTGTGTGTGTGTGTGTGTCGCTGCAAGGGCACAGGCGTGTTTTGTTGTTTTTGAAGTAATTGCTATTTTCCGTGTGTTTGCATGTGTGTTTATCTGATCACATGACTCATGGTCAGAGTGTGTGTGGTGCTGTATGTGTGCATAAACTATTTCATGTAGTATTTGATTTAATCAGCTTTTGGCAGTAGGTTTATATGAAGCTGTGTGAGCTCTCTTAAAACTAGCTGTAAAAGATATTAGTGGTATATTTTCATTTAAAAAAATGTGTGTGCGTAACACAGTGTTTTCCTTATATAATTTTAAAATTAATTATAAACTAATTATATTAACAAATATACATTTGTTGTCACTCTTTTCATTTATGCACTTTTACAATTTTTTTTTGTTTTTTGGAAATGTATAGCCTATATAAGGACATAAAACATCCATTTGAATTAAAAGCCGAATTTAATTGTTCATTTTGATTTCCTTCCCTCCATCCATTTACCTTAAAATAATAATAGTCATTTTATTATTATTATCTTTTTAATTGAAAGCCTAATTGAATAATGTGCATGTAATCAATGTGGTTCTACTCTTAAAATCGAAAGAAAATTGATTTATTAATTTACTGGTTTTACCATGTTCTTGTCTGAGCTGAAGATGATAACTGTCCCATTTTGACTTTGCTAAATGATTTTCTTAGACAAATGTGACCCTGGAGCACAAAAGCAGTCTTAAGTCGCTGGGGTATATTTGTAGCAATAGCCAAAAATACATTGTATGGGTCAAAATTATTGTTTTTTCTTTTATGCCAAAAATCATTTGGACATTAAGTAAAGATCATGTGCCATGAAGATATTTTTCTAAGTTCCCTACCGTAAATATATCAAAACTTAATTTTTGATTAGTAATATGCATTACTAACTTCATTTGGACAATTTTAAAGGTGATTGTCTCAATATTTAGATTTTTTTGCACCCTCATATTCCAGATTTTCAAATAGTTGTATCTCACCCAAATATTGTCCGATCCTAACAAACCATACATCAGTGGAGAGATGATTTATTCAGCTTTGGTGTATAAATCTCAATTTCACAAAATTGACCCTTATGACTGGTTTTGTGGTCCAGGGTCACAAATTTACTGAAAGGCTATAAGGACAGACAGGTAACCAGGCTCCTAAAATTAATTCACAGTATGCACACACTGACTATTCATGGACCATCAGACCAGCCCAAAATCAAAAGTCTGGATACATGAGACACTTATGTGGTTTGTGCCAAAACTAGCAATTTATTTTCAGACAATAAAGTTCATTGTTAGTCTCACTAGGCCTTCGACAGTTTCAGGTTTCTAGGCTTCTAGCAAATTTCCCAAAGAGGCCAAAGCCTATGAAGATGTCGGGACAGGGCTCCGCTTGTCCCTCTGCTCAGTTGGGTTTGAAGGCCTGGGGCCTCATGTGTAAAACTTTACGTAGATTTCATCCTAAATTTTGTGTACGTACAAAAGTTTTCAGATTTATAAAGCCATGCGTATGCCAGAACCTGCGCAAAATTCCTTTTGTAATTCCCAGTCAGTGGAAGATTGTGCGTACGTGCATCTCCACCCCGTCTCCTCCCCGAAATAGCCATATATATGGAGCTTACAATGCCTCATTTTAATATGCATAACGTCATCTGCATATCATTTCCATGCATATTTCCATCCACGTGACACCATGTTTAACGCAGTTAAGGGTAGCCTACAACACGTTAGGAAAATATGAGATACGGACTATAAATGCGTTTTGAGACATCACTATTCTAATTTATGCAATTTGCCTAAAAGGTAAACAAAATATTTTAGAATGTTTATAGCCTATATTTTTATGGAAATACTTTTTTTGCAGTGTAAATAGCTGTCTGACTCACCGCGTCAATAACAAAACATTTTGAAAATAAAACGAGCATATCTTACAGTTTCCTTCAAATTCTATCTTTTAAATATGGTGTTTGTCACAATATTGGGAAGAGCACGAAAGGGGTTATCATTAGGCTACTGTCTGTGCGCGACACCTGAGAAACAGTTCTACGGTCATCAGACCAATGGACTGTTTGGTCAGGGAGCCCATCCTTATGTCTGTCGTTACAAAGTCAAGTTCACAAAAATGATCATTATCATTCGCGCAATAGTACTTTCTCAGAACATGAGTTTTGCTATTTAGAACACAATTTGAAGCTGAATTGTCATACGCCAAGCAATCCTCGCTGTGATTAAAACATGAAATCGCATACCACAGGAAAATTGTTCGAAAGCAGCACATCCACTGCAAATATTTCTGTTTAAATTCATATACAAATGTTGTGATTTCTGGATGATAATTTCATGAAATTTCAGTGCTTTACTTAATTATTCAGAGTGTCATATTTAATCTAAACGTGTATGTCAAATCTAAAACTGACTTTAAAATCATTCTGTTCGCTTCCTTATTTCGCTCCCTCCAGTAAAAGAGTGCGTACGCATGGTCTAGTGTCCGTACGGTCCGCACATATTTACGCCTAGTTTATTTTTTATAAATCCCGATATGTGCGTGGAAAATTGCGTACGCACATTTCCATGCCCATTTTGTGCATGCGCAACGTTTATACATCAGGCCCCTGTGACACTTTTTTCCCCTTTTTGTTTAACCTCATAATGTTTCGTCCCATCTAACTGCGTAATCCGATGACCAAACATTAGCTGTCAGGGGTATCGGTCAGACGAGACCGATCCAAATCCTATATAGAGCGTATACTATTGTGTTATTATTAAGCCCCACGAAAGCCACAAAAACTTTATAAAGCACCATAAAGTTTCCGTGCACTATATTTCAAGTGTTCTGAGACCGTTCCATAGTTTAATGTGAGGTACAGATGAATATTTAAGTCAAGTCTGTCTGTCATCCTCCAATCAGCATAAACTGTGTGTCACGTTCGTTTATGACAGTCAAGACGATGAAACTCTCTCCAAGATGATTAAATGTTCCTAATGTTATACTTGCTCTGTAAATAGAGATAAATGGTTTTGCATAAAAGGAATTTATCTTGCTGGAGTTTCGTGCTGTTTCTAAATCGTGTACATTTCTACCGGATTATCTTGTTAGATCACAAGACAAGTATACGCACTATATCGGATTTGGATCGGCCTCGTCTGACCGATACCCCGATCCAACAGAAAATGCCAGTATCAGAGCGATACCGATACTGAATATCGGATCGGCGCACCCCTAATTGTTACAGATAATTTCTATTCTATATTCAATATTTCTATTCTATTTTCTATTCTTTCTACTGGTATACTGTACATACACAAACAATCCTTTTTTTCAGTGGTTTTCCAAATACAAAAAACCCCCCACGCATTTACTTATTATAAATACCAAAAAAACTGTCAGTCTAGTCTGCTGAACATCTTTTTGACCAAGATTTTGGGTTATGGTCATGTTTCATGCTTGTTTTGGCTGGTCCTTCATACATGTTGTCACCAATACATTCGTTAAATTACCTAATTTTCAACAGTTAATCTTGCAAACTGCAATGGGGCAATGACATTTGGTCACATAATGCACAAGTTTGTTATCATTGATGTCCAAGATGTTTGATTTCTGAGCAACAATGAGGAAGATCACCTTTTTGAACTGGTGCCACCTTGCATCCCTGTTATCGATTGTATTGAAAATGGAAGATTTCCGTAAAACCCTACAGAGTTTATTTTTCGATTAGAAACCTACTGGCTGTGCATTATCATCCCATACAAAATGGCTTAAATTTCAGTGGGTTGCTGACACAACGATATTGCATGGCTTCAGATATGGTCACTACAGTGTCGTTTAGGATATACTGTTCTTTTAAGCATCCAAATGGATGTTCTCTAGGTTTTTTTTCCCCCATCATCATTTGTCCTTTATTTGATTAAGCTCCTCACTGTAATAGCACTGTGATTAGACCTTTAAAACTGAGCCATGCGGTCTTGAAAGGATTTGAGGTCTCCTGTTCCTCAGTTTGTATGTGTTGCTGTAAATACAGTGCTGAGAACAGTACACTGTCCCTGATTTCAGAATGGAAATCCAGTGTACTTCGGTGTGAGCACTACTAAATAGACAAGAGGAAAATGTCAGCACTGTTTCAGCATCACAAAGTGTCTTGCTGTTTCCAAATGAGCAGCTGCTCACAGTGCACTCCTAAATAGACGACTAACAGGGAGCATTTCAAATTTGTGAATGAATGAGTCGATTTGAAAGGACATTGAACAGCTAAGCTGTTTCATTTAAAAACTAGAATTGACTTAGTCGACTCAAAGACCCATTGCCTTGAGCTTTTAGCAAATGGTCAGAAAACTTAAGTGAGCTTTCACATTTCAGGCATTTAAAATAAATACAAAGTATACTTATTTGTACACTACAGAAAGCTGATATATTCAAAAAAATCGATTAAACATTCAAACAAATATTAAAAGTGAGTTGGGAGGCTTTTCATTGAATCTTAAGTTAATAAATGAGAATGCAATAGTTCCTTAGTATTAACAATTCCAGACAGCCACTTAAAATAAATAACTTTATATATTTTAAAATGTATTTTATTTTAACCATTACTCCAGTCTTCAGTGTCACATGATCTTTCAGAAATCAATCTAATATGCTGATTTGCTGAAATGTTGAAAACAGTTGTGCTGCTAACTATTTTAAGTTTTACAGATTGTTCTATCTAAATGTGTTGGTTTTCTTAAACAGAGGGACCTTGTGGGAAACAAAAACATTGTTGGTTTTATGGACTCCAGCATCACAGCAGTAGGTTCAGGAGATGTTTGGGAAGTTCTCATATTGATGGACTTCTGTCGAGGTCAGTATGTGTTCCTCTCTTTAAGATGGTATGCCATTTGAGATTCAGAGCCTTTTCCCACTAGTTTTGGTGGTCTTGACCTACTATGCAACGTTTGTGTGTAATAACCCAGGTGGGCAGGTTGTGAACCTGATGAACCAGCGCTTGCAGACTGGATTCAGTGAGACGGAGGTGCTGCAGATCTTCTGTGACACATGTGAAGCTGTCGCTCGACTACATCAGTGCAAAACTCCCATCATCCACCGGGACCTTAAAGTATGAGCTCTTATTATTTTAAGAAATAGTAAACCCTAAAAAAAAAAAAGACTAATTTAGTCACTTCTATGTTGTTCCAAACCTATATAACTTTCATTTTTGAAACACACAAAAGGAGAAGAATTTTTTGCACTTTTTTTTCCCCATTCAACTAAAGCATACAGAAACCTATGGAAGGCCATTTCACCACTGAATAAAAAAAAAAGAGAAAAAAATTAAACTTTTTATCTCACAATTCTGACTTTTTTCTTAGAATTACATGCCATAAACTTGCAATTGCGAGTCAAGTCAGAATTGTGTGATATAAACTTGCAGTTGCAAGAAAAAAGTCTTAAAAGTCTTTTAAACTCGTAATTCTGAGAAAGTCGCAATTCTGACTTTATTTTTCGAGTTTATATCAGTTGTGACTTTTTTTTTTCTCTCTCAGAATTTTTAGTTTATATCTTGCAATTCTGACTTTATAACACGCATTTGTGACTTATAAAGTCAGAATTGTGAGATATAAACTCGTAATTGTAAGAAAATAGTCTTCTTTTCTTTAGAATTGGACCTTATAACTCACAATTGTGAGTTTATATCTCACAGTTCTGAGAAAAGAAGTCAGAATTGGGAGATATAAATTTGCATGTGCGAAGAAGTCAGAATTTGCGAGTTATAAAGTCAGAGTTGCGAGAAACAATTAGGATATCTTGCAATTCTGTTTTAGAATTGCAACTTTCAACTGCATCTTTATATCACACAGTTCTGAGGAATATAATTAGAATTGTGAGAAATAAACTCGCAATTGCAAGGAAAAAGTCAAAATTGTGAGATAAAAATTACCTTTTTACATTTTTTTTAATTCAGTGGCGGATACGGTCTTCCATAGAAACCAGTGTTTGTCAAGCTTTAAAAAGATGTTGCCATTGTGTCCAACCTGGTGTGACTTGTCTTAATGCCCAAAATGACAATATTTGAAAATGTATTGATTGAACTATTCCTTTAATAAATGACTTTTTGCTTATTGTGTTTGTACCCTTTTACAATTCGTCTCCGTTGTGATGTTTAGAAAACTATTCCAGTTCAGCTTTGCAAAAACTAGGGCATAACCTACTGTATTACAAATGTGTGTCCTCTCTTTGTGTCTCTTTTAGGTGGAGAACATCTTGCTGCACGACAGAGGACATTATGTGTTGTGTGATTTTGGCAGTGCCATTAACCGCTCCCAGGATCCACAAACAGAAGGTGTGGCGGCTGTAGAAGAAGAAATCAAGAAGTGAGCATTGTTTATTTTTTTTATATTATACACCACAGTGTTACATTTTCATATCAATTGAATCTAATACTCTATATGTGTGTGTTAAGGTACACTACTCTTTCATACCGGGCCCCAGAAATGGTGAATCTATATGGGGGCAAAGTTATCACTACTAAAGCAGATATATGGGTGAGTCAAAGAGGTGAAGACTGCTAGACAACAATTCAGTTGGTGACAATAACAGTGCGTTTCAGTAGTAGCCAAAGCCTTTGTCTCTGTAGTTGATTATTGGTGAATATGCATATCATTTTGAAACATCACAAAGGGGGTTTGATGACTCTTGCTTATTTGTGTCCTCAGGCTTTGGGCTGCTTGTTGTATAAGTTGTGTTATTTCACATTGCCGTTTGGAGAGAGTCAGGTGGCCATCTGTGACGGCAGCTTCACCATCCCTGACAACTCCCGCTACTCGCACGACATGCACTGTCTCATCCGTAAGTGCAGCTGATGATTGCTTGTCTGTCATGCAGAATATGGCATTCATATGTTCTTTACAAGTACTAATAAACAGCCAATATGCTAGTAATATGCATGCTAATAAGCAACTAGTTAATAGTGTTAATAGTTAATAATATAATAAATCACTAATTATATAATAATAGTTAATAGTGTTAATAACCGCTAATAGTGTTCCCTAATCAAAAGTGTTACCGTATTTTCAACAATTTTCACTGTAAATATCGTCCAACTCCAAAAAATATTCTGTTCACATGTGTAAATTTATGTTTTAATAAAACATTATTAGGGACAAAACTGTTGGTGGAACAACTAAGTACAGTCGTCATTTTTGAAAAATATTATTTTTCACACATTAAATATTAAAGTAGTTTGTTTTTCACTCTTTGTTTAGATTACCATAGATTTAAATGTTTTTATTGTGTGTGTGTGTGTGTGTGTATATGTATGTATATATATATATATAATGCACTCTACTGTTCGAAGGTTTGGAATCGGTACAATTATAATTTTTTTTATTGTTCCTAAAGGATTAAAGCTAAAGCGTTAAATTAATCAAAAGGGACAGTGAAGACATTTATGATGTTACAAAAAATTTCTATTTCAAATAAGTGCTGTTGTTTTGAGCAACATTTATCCTGAAAAAAATGCTGCAGTTTCCACAAAAAAATATGAACGTAACTAGTAATAGCAACGTAACTCTTCCTAACATGGATAATGATAAAAATTGTTTATTGAGCACCAAATCAGCATAGTAAAATGATTTGTGAAGGATCATGTGGCACTGAAGACTGGAGTAATGAAGCTGAAAATGATTGTAAATGAATAATTTAAAACATATTAAAATAGAGAAGGCTATTTTAAATTGTAATAATATTTCACAATATTGCTGTTTACACTGTATTTATTGTACTGTTTATATCAAGTAAATGCAGCTTGCCTTGGCGGGCATAAGAGACTTCTTTCAAAAATATTGAACTCCAAATATTAAACTTTTATAGTGTATTATGAGCAAGGAATAATTGACAATGGGCCATTGAATTATTAGAAAATAATGCACACCTGAGCTGGTAATATATGTTGTTGTTGTTGTTTTTTTATTACCCTCATATAACCAAAAAAGGGGGGAAAAAACGTTTTTTATTTTAATAAAATACATTTTGATTCTCTGGGACAATAAAAAAAAATATTTCTGTTTTTCACCTGTATGCTTTTGTGTTTTGATTTGTTTAATTTCTCCTGTCTCAGGTTACATGCTGGAGCCAGACCCTGACATAAGGCCAGATATCTACCAGGTGTCATATTTTGCCTTTAAACTGGCACGGAAAGAATGCCCAGTACAGAATATCCACGTAAGACCTGCTCATTCATACTCCCTCGCTATTTCCTGTGCTATAACTATACCAGCTTCCATGCGCATTTGCCCTGATCTACTCTCCTGTTTTCCTGTCACACTCTACAGGGTTTTTGTTCTTTATTCCAGCACATACTTCTTCATCTATGTTTAATTCATGCCTATCCCTTTCAGTAGATATCGTAAGTGCTTGCACAGGAAGTGGATTGTCGGTCGTGGCTGCCAGCTGGCACACATCCAGTGGCCCCTCCCACTCTGAGCAGTATTGATAGCATAATGGAAGCATTGAGTCATGATCAAAGACATATTAACATTGACACCCGCAAATGCTGTTTAGAGTTCAATACAGGAATGACCTCTGTAAAAACGTTCAATGTTTCTTTGACCGTTTTTCCTGACGTAGGGATGTTTGGCTCAGACTGCGTCTACAAATAAATATCATAGCCAATGACGTGTTTTCATTACACATTTGTGTTTTTGCCAACAACATGCATATCTTTTGTTGTTGAGGATGTCATCGTCACTTATTTTTTCACATCCATGGAAATTAAATTACGCACTTAAGAATAATGATTTCATAGGATGTGACACTAGCAAAAATGTGGTATGAAACCATCTCTGTGCTCAACTCTAGTAAATAACTTAATAAAATCAAATTTACATTTACATTGCCATTTTGCAGACGCTTTTATCCAAAAGCGACTTACAATTGGGGAATACATAAAGCTATTCTTCTTAAAGAGGCAAACAGACACAGGAAGTGCTTGTAATACCAGGTCTGTAGCTATCTGTAAGTGAAGTGTTTAATGTAGGTTTTTTGAGCAGTGGGGTTACCCGAGCCTGCTTGAATGCAGTGGGGAAAGTGCCTGTGAGGAGAGATATGTCGATGTTGTGTGTGAGTGCTGGTAAGAGTGTATGAGAGATTGCTTGGAGAAGGTGTGAGGGGATTGGGTTTAGAGGGCATGTTGTAGGATGGCTGGAGAGGAGAAGTTCGGTACTTCTGCCTCAGTTAGGGGACAGAAGGAGAAGATGGGAGTTTTTGTAGTGGGTGTGGTTGGTTTGAGGTCCTGTGTGTGTGGGGCTGAGAACTGACTACTGATTGTTCTAGTTTTGTCTGTGAAGAATGTGGCGAAATCATCAGCTGTTATAGAAGTGGTGGAGGGGGACAGAGGAGAGAATTTAATGTTTTGAAGAGAATTCAATGTTTTAAATTAATTAAGTAACTTAAAAACAAACTTTGAAGTCCACCTGAAATAAAAAATGACAAATCTACTTTCTTCATGTTACTGGTCTTCATGCACAATAAATTGGTGTGTTATTCAGTGTTATTTTAGTAGTATTTATATACCGTTACAGTATTTATTAATGTTATGGATTCACTTTCATTTTTATTTCATTTTTCAATTTAGTTCAAGTTTTGTTAGGTGCTTTTGTCGTTTTTATTAGTTTTTTTTACTTTATTTGTAATTCTAGCAATTTTAAACATTTTATTTTCCAGTTCATTTTATTTATTTACACAGTTTTTTTTATTTTCACCGTAATTTTAATAAACTAAAATTATTTCAGTAATTTTAAACATTTTATTTCAGTTAGTTGCCAAGATAATATTTGTAATTTGTATTTGAATTGAAGTTTTTTTTCTAATTTTTATATTTCATTGTATTCCAGCTTTATTTTAATTAACTAAACGATTTGTGTGTGTGTGTGTGTTGAATTTTCTGTTTCACTGGAATGATTTGCAGATGTTTCATGTTGACTAAAGACAACCAAATACAAAATGTAACCAGTGTTGGGTGTAACTAGTTACTAAGTAATCTGTTACTGTAATTTAATTACTTTTCCCTTGAAAAAAGTGGGATTACTCTTATTTTTTCTGTAATTTAATTAGTCACTTATGTAATTGAACTTAATACTGTGTATAGACTGTAGAACATTTATATACAATACAATAGTATATTTAACATAAAAATTTAAAGTCTAACCTTAAAATGCATGCTTTTTATACAAATTTTTTTTTTGTAAACTTCTGACCTTAAATATTTTGGTGAGTTAATAAGAATATTAGTAACACTTTAGTGTCCAATTCTTATATACAATACAATAGTATATTTAACATAAAAATTTAAAGTCTAACCTTAAAATGCATGCTTTTTATACAAATTTTTTTTTTGTAAACTTCTGACCTTAAATATTTTGGTGAGTTAATAAGAATATTAGTAACACTTTAGTGTCCAATTCTCACTATTAACTAGTTGGTTTTCAGCATTAATATTACTGGGATATTTGCTGTTTATTATTCCTTAAAAAGCACATATCAATGTGTTATTCTGAAGACCTTATTCTAAATCCTCAATGCTACCCAATTCTAATTGTCAGCAACTTCTTTACTAAGTATTAATAAGCAGTAGTTAGGAGTATATTGAGGCAAAAGTATAGTTAGTTCATAGTTAATAGTTAGTTAATAGTGAGAATTGGACCCTAATCTAAAGTGTGACCAGAATAATTTATGTAAGTTATCTATTATTTATTTGAAAGCATTAAAAACCATTTCATGTCTATCCTTGTATCATTAACTTGTCAAGGTTGATGTAGGATTTGGAAAGTAATTAGTAATAAGTAATTAAATACTTTTTGGAGAGAGTAATTTGTACAGTAATCTAATTACACTGTTGAAGATGTAATTAGTAACTAATAATTAATTACTTTTTTAGAGTAACTTACCCAACACTGAATGTAACAATATAATTGTAACATTAAGTCCAAGTGAGATGAAAAGAGTTCACACACAGCTGAAATAAAACACTGTTTATTAGAGAAAACAAAAGAAGGTCATCCAAATAACAAGCAAACAGTGAGCAAAGCACAAACGATACTGGACAAGGAATTGAAGGCCTTAAATACACTGAAGAAAATTAGATAATTAACTAAACAAGAGGCAAACACATTGAGCAATTCAACGGACAGAGAAAGTAGGTCTAGAGGCAAAACAAGGAAGACAGAACCCAAACACAATGAAAACACGATTAAAACGGAACACAAGTATAACAATAAATAGTAATAATATTCCGCTTATTCCATTAGAACTCACTCATTCCAGCAAAACTCCCAGAGCCAATCAGAGCCAGTGAAGCCGTGGCCAAGAAGAGTCAAAACAAAGCCAGGTGAGACTAGTTATCTGTGTGGTCTCCGATGTTTGAAGTCACGTTATGTTTTATATACATTTTCTTTAGTTTTAGGATGCATATGGTGTTTTGTATAGTGGTCGTTTTGATTCGACTTGAACTTTTCTTGTCATTCAGGCTCACTGATCCAGTCCCTACGACTGAGACATCCATAGCACCACGGCAGCGTCCCAAGGCTGGCCAAGCTCAAGCAATCGCAGGCATCCTGCCCATCCAACCAGCCCTCACCCCTCGTAAAAGAGCCAGTGCACCTGCAGGACCCGGCCAGCCAATCAGTGAGTGTTCATTATTCACCTTCATCCAAAATCAAACACTATGTAGGCGTCCTCATATGTGTGGCTTCAGTCTTTCATGCTCACTCTTTTCTTCACTGTTGACTCTTCACACGTTGCATGTGTCTTTGGCTGACACACACGGCTCTAGTATTCCCACTGGTTCAATCAGTGTGTCATTACAGAGAGCTTTTAAAACCTCACTAATGAGCCTGAGCTATTGAGCCCCTGACACACTCAATCCTACCGAGCTGTCATTTCACTTCCTATTTCTGAAGTCAGTGCTAATTAAAGCCCTACATGTCTCATTGATAATGAATATCCCGGTGTATTGTTATCTTCCTGTAATGTTTTAGCACCGGATTATCTGGGTCAGGATAGTAACACTATGTCTTAATTTAGGAGCAACAATACTACAGCGAGAATAAAAGTTACACCTTCTTTCTTTACGTGAACATTTGGCCGGCGTTATGCAAATCTTCCCACATAGTGATGCAGATATGTGGGGAGGGCGTGTTAGAACGAGCCATTTTAGGTAGGCGTGGTTGACTCTTAACTTTTATAAAGAATATCTCTTTGGATTTGAGACTTCAGTCTTTGCAACTTTACAGATCTTCTTTATGCACCAAGAGCTTGTAACACTCCAAAGAGAAAGGAAAAATTGAAATCGCATCATATGACCCCTTTAATAACGTCCCTCATTCAAATTAAATCGTGACCATGATTTAACTTAATTCAAACAAACACATTTTTAATTGTGGCCATGATTTCAGGGTTTTTTTCCCCCACATGTCATGTGTGGGCTCTGTAGTCATTGGACTAGTTTCGCGACTCTTCCTTGTCTCATGGTTTGCAAGTATGAGAGTGGGGATTTTAGAGGCCTGTTTTTTAACGTTGTGTTTTTATTGTTTTCTATTGGTTCACAGGTGTTAACAGTGCTTCCCAGCCTGTTTCCCAATCACAGGTTCCTGTCGCTCAGCAACAAACCACGCCCACTCCAATGCAGGCCACTCCCTCTCCACCCCAGACCACACCCCAACATGCACAACTTTTTGTGCAGCAGCAAAACACAGTCTTCTTTACTGCTCAACAACAGGTAACTGCTACATTAACCATTCTGGAAATACTTAAATAAAAATAGAATTTAGAGTAAACATGAAATAAGATTTGACCTTATTTACTTTCTTAAAGGGGTCATATGATGTTGCTAAAAATAACATTATTTTGTCTATTTGGTGTAATGAAATGTGTTTATGCGGTTTAAGGTTCAAAAAACATTATTTCCCACATACTGTACATTATTGTTTCTCCTCTATGCCCCGCCTTTCTGAAACGCGTCTGAAAAGCGAGGTGTGCTGTGATTGGCCAGCTATCCAGTGCGTTGTGATTGGCCGAATACCTCAAGCGTGTGACGGAAAAGTTACGCCCCTCACCATATTGTGATGCCCTGTCCCGGCCAGAGCGACGAGACAAAAACATTAAAACTCATTATAAACGAGGCATTTGTTGCATCCAGTGGGGACATAATTACGGATTATAATGACTTATACTGTCTTTTTACGCGTTGCGTTGCATCGCGCCACGTAATCATAAAACCATGACAAACAACAAGCGCTACTCTACACTGCTCAAAACTTGCATTTGAATCGTCAGTGGCAAATTTTTTAAATATGAAAACGTACTTACAGTCTGTGAGTCAGAACAGCTGGCATTGTAGTCTACTCTCCCAGGATCAGGAAACAGTCCTCCATAAAATGCGCTGCACACATCTGAATATTTGGTTTGAACTGTTCTGGAACAGTGTTGTAAATACAACTTAACCACTGATTTTGAGGGATCTTATCTATTCACGAACAGCTTGTAACACTACAAAGAGAAAGGAAAACTTGAAATCGCATCATATGACTCCTTTAATACATGTCTTACTGTGAACGATAGTCCTGAACGATAGTCTGATTCTGACACTGAACACTCACTTTTCATGACCCAATCAAATCCAGATAGATGAATACTCTATTTTCTTTGAATATGTCACATTATGGAAATAAAATGTGTTGTGAATGATTTTTCATGTGGATTTAAAATAAATCATCTGGGAAATTCTGTGTGGATTTATAAATGGAAACTTTCATTATTGTGATGTCAATTGTTGCACCTACCTCCTTTAGCAGCAGCACTCAACACAGACCTCTGTCTTACCTGCACAAACGGTTGCATCATCCTCCACCCCTGTTTCTACACAGTCTAAACCTAAGAACAGGGCACCCCCTCCACCCATACAACCCCCTCAAACCAACTGCCTCACAACATTATCAGCAACCACACAGACAAAAACCAAAGCAACGGCCCCAGTCCCGCCTACAGAGTGTTTACATAGTAATAGTGTAGATGGAGATATCACTGCGACCGTGTCTGCCCAACCTAAAACCAAAGCTATGGCACCTCCACCCCCCACATCACACGCTTCCACCCTTCCTCCACCTAAAACCACCTCGGCACCATCCGCTGACTCTGAAGTGAACCCAGAGCAGAGGGTAACCCTCCCAACATCTGTGTCTGCTCTGTTAGAGTGATTTTCCTTGCTTCCTAAAGCCTTGATCCTCCCCTTGGTGACTTGTCTTGCATGTTAAAGGAATAGTTTACTCACAAATGAAAATTTGTGAGTAAATTCTTCCATCCATTCTTGTAACTTAATGTTTTTTTTGTGCATTTTTTTCAAATTGTTTCTAAGAATTAACATTATGAAATGAGTAGGTGTTGACAGTTACTGTATATTATGCCTGCAGCTGCAGAGCAAGGTGTCATGTACAACACAAGTGGAGGTGTTCTATCTAATTGCCATATTGAATATTACGTGGATGAAAATGAGGCTGTGGATATATATAGACATATAGGATCAGTAATTTTCAAAAATGCACAACTTGAAAACTTTAATGGAGGTTTTGTCTACTGAAAGTTTTTGGAAAGATGATTTATCATCTGAACAATTGGCGTGTTGTCAAACAACAGTATTCATTCCTCGTTTTCATTCCTGTCAAAAATGTAAAAACCCTGATCTTTAAAAACCTCATGTTGTTCCAAAGCCATATCATCTGTGTTGTTCTTCTATAAAATACAAAAGGATAAGTTGAACTGAATGTTCACACTGCCCATAAAGTAAAGGTATATTTCAGTTTCAGAAGTTGTATGATAGCTTTGTGTGATAAACATGCAAATATTTAAAATGACATTCTCTGCCCAAGTTTAATTGCATGTCTATGTATTTAAATATATGACATTATTGTAGCGAATCAGCTCAAGGGGAAATATGAATAATTAACCATAACTAGTTATAATTAACTATTCATATTTTAGATCCGCTGTAGATATTTAGCTGACCTCTCAGGGTCAACTGTCTTGTCAATTCCAAGAACGTTAATTTCCTGGTTAAGGGAAATAACTTTCTTACTGTACAATTCTACAAGCTTGTAACGTAAATCTGCATGATTAGTGACTCCGGTTATGAGCAAACAATGATATATATATATATATGTATATATATGCTTTCAGCAATGCTGTTTGTTCCAATGTGCAAAGTTTGGCTATGCACCAGCAAAAAGTGGATCTGAGGGCAATGACAGAGGATGTGATTTTCAATGAATAATGACTTGCCTTTCGGTCTTTTCTTCACCGAAATCCTTTGGCTTTATGGTGTTTTTGTCATTTTGGTAGCTCAGCAGGAGGTCTATAATCACTTCCATTGTATGGAGACAAGAACCCAGGAAAATATGTGAAAAAGAAGATTTTATGGATTTGGAGTGACATGAGGGCGAATACATTAAAGTTTCTAACAGATAAGATTTTTCTATTAAAATGAATAGAAAGGACTTGATTCATCTGACAACAGACATTTCACCTTTCAAACCTTTTAGATATTTTCTCATTTCACACATCAGCTTTTTTCAACAAGTCATTGAGATATCAGATTTGTCTTTTTTGTACATCTGAAGCTCTCTTTCTTCACCTTTCAAAGACCAACCTCTTTTCTACAGAATGTTTCTCTGGGTATATCAGAAATTAAATTCTCTAATAAATATCCTTCAGCCTTTAATGTTGTCTCTATACCTTTCTTTCTGTAAAAGTCTGTCGGCGGAAGTCGTGGGGTGCATAAAGTCGGCTCCTTGACTCCACCCTCTTCTCCCAAGACCGCCCCTAAAGGAGGCCACAGGCGAATTCTGAGCGATGTCACACGCAGCACCATATTTGGAGTTCCTGTGAGCAAGTCCACTCAACTGCTTCAAGCTGCTGCTGCAGAGGCCAGCCTCAACAAGTCCAAGTAAATCAAGCAAATACGTAATCATTTACAGTTTAGTTTTAACCATTGTCCAGCATTGAGTAAAGATGAAAATAAAGGTTGTATTGGAGTAAGATAGGTACTACATCTAGCTAACTGAGTAGCAAAGTGGCAACATTAGGACTATTTAAAGTGTCACATCATGCAAAACAATTAGTTTTTCTTGGTCTTGCTATATGTAGAAATTGGATATGTTCAGAATAACATTCTGCTAAATGCAGTGTGCTCATTTTAAACCTTCATTTCCAGTATGACGAATCAACTTGAAGTAATTCAAGCCACGGTTTTTAACATCTGGATCTTCTATGCTGAATAGGTCTCAGGTGGTCTAGCTGGCATGCCAGCCTGGCACTCAACTGATTTTCCTGAAAAGTGCCCAAAACCCCTTCTAAGACCAGCCAATATCCCAGACTCGCCAAACTGGCAGTCAACTAAAACTAGAAAACCATCTAAGGCTGTTTTAAGCTGTTTAATTGTTCATTCTTTCAGCAGGGTTTCTTCATTATATTTGGTTTGCTAAAGGTTTAAGGTTTGACACACCCAAGCCGACATCAATTAACTTATTGTTAACAAAAATCAGCTGCATTGTCACCTGTGTCAAAAATTGGACACATTGCCAAGACTAGCCAACAGCCAAAAAGCATACGTTTTGCACCTGCATGAGAGAAAATACTGTAACTCTCCAGACCAGAAGGTGGCAGTAGTTTATATTCTGCCTTCAAAATGGGAAACAGAAACTAGGACTGGGTGGGTGGGTGCTTGCTTACCATTTTGAATATGAATTTTGATCAGTTGGCCTTCACTTTCTACATTCCAAACACCCATGTCTTCATGAAAATATTCACACATTGGAATGGTGAGATCAATTGAAGGTGTAAAATTAGAAGAACCATCTATGATTGCACTGTAATTTTTTGTATTGTTTGCTTGCTTCCGTCACTTTAATTTTTTCTTCTTATGCACTGGTTCACTAAGCTGAACAGCCAGTCAGAGTGATCTCTCTTACTGACCACCCAATGGCCATTCAACATGCTTAATCGGCCAAAAAGCCTCCAATCATGGTCCAACTAGTGCCAATGTTTTGGAACACACTGGGAAAACGGGTCTGAAAGACACACAACGATGGCCTTACTTTGGCCAACTGCCGACTGTCAGCTTAGTGTGTCACAGCCTTGGAGTTTTATGCAAAAATCGTTTTGAAAATGCAAATAGTTTATATTTCAAAGATGATAACTCGACACCACTAGCATGCAATATGCTGAGTGTGAGAACACTGAAGTGGAACTTTTTGAAGCATTGCTATTTTTCTCTCTCTGCTGTAGGTCAGCTAGCACCACTCCCTCTGGTTCTCCATGTTCATCACAGCAGAGTGTTTATCAGTCAGTGGAGGCTTCGGGACCCTCGGCTGGAGCCCCAGCATCCTGGAACCCCTTTGCCGATGACAATTTCTGTAAACTCACAGCAGAAGAGCTGCTCAACAAGGATTTTGCCAAACTGGATGGTAAAACCAATGTTTATAAATGAAATCAAGTTTTCCAAGTTATTTTTAGCACAGTATTTCTTTTAGTTGCCCAAACAACCCTCTACAGAGAGACTACAGATACACTGTGTATGTATCTTTGCAGCTAAGACAGCCGAGAGATCCTGCCCTGAAAATCAGATTTCTGGGTTGCAGTCTGTGTCTTCAAATAAAGTCTTTCTACAGGGAGGAGGTACAGTCTATTTATCTCTCTATCTGTCTCTTTCTATGTCTATCCCAATGCTTGCTGGGAGTCTGGTAATGCTTAAGACACAACCGCAATGCAAAATTTGCTTTTTTTCCGCTTTCAAAGCAATGAATGCTGTAAACTTGTACTGAACCTGGAACAGTTTCAACCAATGGGTGCTGATGGATTTTCAGAAAGGGGGATAGTCCTTCACATTTTACTGCAAACTCTGGAATGGAATGCCAGTTTTTCCACAATCCATATAATTCCCAATGGATCACGTCCCACCCTGCATTTTTATCTTGAATATCCTGTTTCACCCAGAAACATACCAGAAGTAAAATGGGTTGTGAATGTTGATTCATGACTTTCAAACACTGGCTTTTTCAGTGACTTTAAAAAGCAGTTAATGTACTTGACCTCCTCGAGCCTTCCAGAAATAAAGTAACTTGTGCATCTCACCTGCTGGCAGCCTTGCAATAAGCCTTTCCTTTTCCTATTTATAGAGATAAAGACAGATAGGGCACTCTACTTCCACCTGCTTTCTTGGAAACATCGTGGATAAACACTGGTGTCAGTAATCAGATGCAGTTAAAGGGTAAGCTTTGATCAAGACTGTTACTAGGTGATTGAGACCTTTTATAGTTTCTCTTCACAGTAATTTGTAAATTCTTCTTTCGATTAAGCTTTTTCAGCACACTCTTAAAAATAAAGGTGCTTCAAAAGGTTTTGGTTCCACAAAGAACCATTCAGTCAAAGGTTCTTTAAAGGACCATCTCTTTCTTACCTTTTTATAATCTGAAGAAACTGCTTTCGCCACAAAGAACCTTTTCTGAAACAGAAAGGTTCTTCAGATGTTAAAGGTTCTTTATGGAACCATTTAGACAAAAATGTTCTTCTATGGCATCGTGAAGCACCTTTTATTTTTAAGAGTGTATTGCTCAAAACTAAGGTTAGGGATTTAGACAAACTTTGGGGAGTAACTCATCCTTTAGCGCCAGTTATGCTACTGACATTAATGATGCATGAAAGGTTGAGGCTTGTTGAGAAGAGCTGTGCTATTTCAAAATTAAAATCTCCTAGAATTAAATAGGAGGAACCTGAGCCATATTCAGAGACCAGAACATCATAATGCAGGAGTGTCCTGCTCCTGGAGAGCCCCCTTTCTGCAGAAGTTAGCTCCAACACACCTGTCTGGAAGTTTCTAGTGATCTTGAAGACCTTGATGAGCTGGTTGAAGTGTTTAACTAGGGCTGGAGCTAAATTCTGCTGGATGGTGGCCCTGGAGGAACAGGATTAGACACCCCTGTCATAGAGATTTGGGGCTGGGTTCTTTTGACATTGGTCAGTAAGCAACTGTCTAGCAACCTCTCAGGGATAGTTCACCCAAAGATGAAAATTCTGTCATCATTCTTACTCTAGTGTCATTCCAAACACACTTTTGTTAATCTTTGAACCCAGTGTTAATTTCGACAAATAATTTTCGTCATAAATTTTTTTTCACAGACGAAAACGAGACCATAACAAACTAAAACTCGTTTTGAATGGCAAAAACTATGACGGAAATCTATTGACACTTTTGTCAACGAATAAAAACCAAGCCAATAATGTTAGGGGGCATGATTTGAGAAGAGATTCATTCAGAATGAATCTACTGCGTGCTTAGGAGGTTAGATGCGTAGTTGCATACATATAAACCGGCGGGACACACTTGCTGCATGCCTTCATTCAGAATGAATCTACTGCGTGCTTAGGAGGTTAGATGCGTAGTTGCATACATATAAACCGGCGGGACATAAACTAACATACACTTGCTGCATGCCTCATAAAATGTCAATATGTGGGAGTAAGAGAAGAGCAGACATATGGATACATTTTACGATCCAAGGGAGAACTGAATTCGGTCTGGTTTTCTGAGTGCAGACACTGAAGCATACACACACAGAAAGCGCGTCTCATACAGCGCGCGTAGTTGCATACATATAAACCGGCGGGACATAAACTAACATACACTTGCTGCATGCCTCATAAAATGTCAATATGTGGGAGTAAGAGAAGAGCAGACATATGGATACATTTTACGATGCAAGGGAGAACTGAATTCGGTCTGGTTTTCTGAGTGCAGACACTGAAGCATACACACACAGAAAGCGCATCTCATACAGCGTGCGAGTACTCTTTCACGTCGCATGAACGAAGAATTACACACACAATTATGTTGAATTGTCCGTTTTGATGAGTATTCACATAAACACAATCGATTTCGTCTTAAGTGAACGTAAACAGTAGGGAGAAAGTGTTTATTAGAAGTGGTTTTATTTAATTTTAACATAAAGGCATGTTGTGTGTCACCGCAGTTAAATCGGTGTCTATCATGATAAAACCTTAATATCAAACCTATATTATGAGATTGGACATTTTAGAGAAATGCTTAATAAATGCATTACACTGTAACTAAACCCATTCGATTTTAGCCGACTAAATTTACTGTAGATTCAGTCGACTAAAATCTTATGATATTTAGTCGACTAAAACTAAAAACAATTCAGATGACTAAAACTAAATCAAAATTTGCTGTCAAAATTAACACTGTTTGAAACACAAGTGAAGATATTTTTAATGAAACCGGAGAGATTTTTGTGCCCACGCTCAAAATGTATTTAAACAAATGTTCATGATGAAAAAAAAAAAACTTTGTAAAAACAGCCATTTGTGGGAAAATAAACATTAGAAAAGACATTATTTATAAATTTCAGATCCTCTTTTTGTATGCTATTTGTAGAAAGTGCCACATGATAAAAGCAATTATATAAACAGCATATTCTACTACACTGTATATACTGCACATTATGGTACAGTTATGTTCTTTGGAGTGTTATTCTCTCTTTTAGATTTTTTGTTTTAGAATTTGTGTGTAAAGCCGGGCACATACTGTGAAATTTCAGCAACACAACAACTCTCACTGTGCGAGTAAATCACATGCAACGTCAAGCCAAAGCTCAGGATTTATGTTCTCACACTATACAGTCGGATCATCTTGACTGCTCACACTAAACGGGCGAAATAAACACGTGGACCCTCCGAACCCGGAACCGTGTAGCCTCCATCGCTTTGATCCAAACCACACGATATGTCGCCATGGTTTTGTTTCTGTTTTCACGCAGGCGCATTGAGGGAAAAAACACTGAATTTAGGGCAGTGAGTTCGTAACTCTGCTTCAATTATGCGATACCCTCACGAGGGGTGATCAGAATTTCTGACATGCCAGAAATTCATCCGACCATCCGATTGCCATACACTGCACATCAAAACACACACAACAAAGCTGAAATTCAGTCTTCGACTCAAAAAAGAGGTGCAAGATTCAGAAGTCAGCTCTAAATTGTATGAAAATTTTACTGTTTGCCCGGCCTAAAAGAGCTGCATGCATGATGATTCTCAGCCGAACAGAGAGAGTGGATTAACGCTTGGAGGTCTTACGTAAGCACAGTCTGGTAATCCTCTCTGAATCTGATGACACACCAGATCATGCTGGGTAAATTTAAGGCACAGGTAAACCTTTTGAGTGCCGTGGGATGCATGTGTACTCTAGCTCCATGGTGATCTATGACATGCACACTTTTCCTGACATCATTAGTAGCCATATCTAGGGACCAATTGAGACCAGTAAGCAATCATCTTTTAGCACTTTAGCAACCATCCAGGATACCCTGGAAACTGCATAACAATATGATAAAAACTACCCAGAATACCCGAGAAACTGCGTAGCGATGCCTTGGCAACCTTTCACAATACTCTAGCTGCGTCTGTTTATTCAGAAGCAGTTGAACTTTAAGACTTGAAGAGCTTTCTTGACTTCATTCATGTTTAAAGTTTGATGGTTCATTCTCTGCCCTAGTGAAAGGGGGAAAGCGAGCGTTCTGCTGTTCTGTGACCTGAGTACCCCCTCCTCTCCCCATACCCTCATCCCAAAGTCCTCCTTTCTATCACAAAGACTGTGAGTAAAACTCCAGCACTGTAACAAGTCCAATTCTCAACTGATCCGCATGCATCTGATTTAATGAAACCGTGACAGTTGCATCATTCTGACCGTTTGCCAGTTTAACTAATAGCCTGACTGGTAGTCGAGTGCTTTCTCCTCCTCCAGCTCAAGTTATAACCTTGAGCCTGTGAAATAAAGATTGCCTGTCTAACACAAATGATAGGTTTGTTTCAAACTGTTGTGTGCTACACCTGTGGTCCTCAGAATTCAAGTATAAGTGTTCTGTTGTTACTGCATGCTCTAGCAAATGAGGTAGATCATTTGGCAATTCCAGACATACAAAATGCTCATACTAGCAATATATACAGTTCATAAAGCATACTAAAGAGTGCAAGAAGTATGGTGATATGCCATTCTGAAAAACATCCACTTTTCCTTTTGTCTTTTATCCTTCTGACATGTTTATTTTAAAGGATTTTTTTTTGGGGGGGGGGTTAAGGTAGTTTTTGTTCTTATATTCCTGCAGGATTCAGAATGATGAATGCTTATACTAACTCTCTTAACAAATATCCCTTTTCCTTATGAGCAACACTTTTCACTTAACTCCTCTTTCCTCACTCACTCTCCTCTGCTTCTCACTGTATCCTCCTCTTGTCCTTACTGTTTATCTTCTCCTTTCCTTACTGTCTCCGCTCCTCTCCCTTATCATTCCTCACTGTTTCCTCTCCTCTCCTCTCTCCTTTCCTCACTGTCTGCACTCCTCCTCACTATATTGTCTCTCCTCACTGTCTCCTCTCTTTACGGTCTCCTTGCATCTTCTCTTGTGTCTCTTCTCCTCTCTTTATTCTTCTCTCTTCTTCTGTCTTTTCTACTTCTTCTCATGGTGTCCTCTCCTCTGTCTCCTCTCCTCACTGTCTATCCTCTCCTGTCTATAATTCTCACCACGTCCTCACTGTCTCATTTCTGTCTCCTTTGTCATCTACTCATTGTCTCCTCTTTCTCCTTTCCTCTCCACCTTACTATTTTCCTCTCCTCTCCTCCTCACTGTCTATTTTCTCCCCACTGTCTCCTCTCCTCTCTTCTCCTCACTGTCTATTCTCTTCTCCTCACTGTCTCCTTTACTCTCCTCACTATCTCATCTCCCTTATCTTTGAGGTGTTTCTTCACCTCACTCTTCTCTCCTCATTGCCTCCTCTCCCTTCTCTCCTCCTCACTGTCTCTTTTACTCTCCTCACTGTCTCCTCTCCTCCTCACTGTCTGTTTTCTTCTCACTGTCTCCTCTCCTCTCTTCTCCTCACTGTCTATTCACGTCTCACTGTCTCCTTTACTCTCCTCACTGTCTCCTCACCTCCTCACTGTCTGTTTTCTTCTCACTGTCTCCTCTCCTCTCTTCTCCTCTCCTCCTCACTGTCTATTCACTTCTCCTCACTGTCTCCTTTACTCTCCTCACTGTCTCCTCTCCTCTTCTCCTCACTGTCTATTCACTTCTCCTCACTGTCTCCTCTCCTCTCTTCTCCTCTCGGTTAAGGTAGTTTTTGTTCTTATATTCCTGCAGGATTCAGAATGATGAATGCTTATACTAACTCTCTTAACAAATATCCCTTTTCCTTATGAGCAACACTTTTCACTTAACTCCTCTTTCCTCACTCACTCTCCTCTGCTTCTCACTGTATCCTCCTCTTGTCCTTACTGTTTATCTTCTCCTTTCCTTACTGTCTCCGCTCCTCTCCCTTATCATTCCTCACTGTTTCCTCTCCTCTCCTCTCTCCTTTCCTCACTGTCTGCACTCCTCCTCACTATATTGTCTCTCCTCACTGTCTCCTCTCTTTACGGTCTCCTTGCATCTTCTCTTGTGTCTCTTCTCCTCTCTTTATTCTTCTCTCTTCTTCTGTCTTTTCTTCTACTTCTCATGGTGTCCTCTCTGTCTCCTCTCCTCACTGTCTATCCTCTCCTGTCTATAATTCTCACCATGTCCTCACTGTCTCATTTCTGTCTCCTTTGTCATCTACTCATTGTCTCCTCTTTCTCCTTTCCTCTCCACCTTACTATTTTCCTCTCCTCTCCTCCTCACTGTCTATTTTCTCCCCACTGTCTCCTCTCCTCTCTTCTCCTCACTGTCTATTCTCTTCTCCTCACTGTCTCCTTTACTCTCCTCACTATCTCATCTCCCTTATCTTTTCCTCTCCTCTCCTCTTTTCCTCACTGTCTATTCTCTTCTCCTCACTGTCTCCTTTACTCTCCTCACTGTCTCCTCTCCTCCTCACTGTCTGTTTTCTTCTCACTGTCTCCTCTCCTCTCTTCTCCTCACTGTCTATTCACGTCTCACTGTCTCCTTTACTCTCCTCACTGTCTCCTCACCTCCTCACTGTCTGTTTTCTTCTCACTGTCTCCTCTCCTCTCTTCTCCTCTCCTCCTCACTGTCTATTCACTTCTCCTCACTGTCTCCTTTACTCTCCTCACTGTCTCCTCTCCTCTTCTCCTCACTGTCTATTCACTTCTCCTCACTGTCTCCTTTACTCTCCTCACTATCTCATCTCCCTTACCTTTTCCTCACTGTCTATTTTCTTCTCCTCTCCTCTCCTCTCTCCTTTCCTCACTGTCTGCACTCCTCCTCACTATATTGTCTCTCCTCACTGTCTCCTCTCTTTACGGTCTCCTTGCATCTTCTCTTGTGTCTCTTCTCCTCTCTTTATTCTTCTCTCTTCTTCTGTCTTTTCTTCTACTTCTCATGGTGTCCTCTCTGTCTCCTCTCCTCACTGTCTATCCTCTCCTGTCTATAATTCTCACCATGTCCTCACTGTCTCATTCCTGTCTCCTTTGTCATCTACTCCTTTCCTCTCCACCTTACTGGCTCCTCTCCTCCTCACTGTCTGTTTTCTTCTTCTCACTGTCTCCTTTACTCTCCCCACTGTCTCATCTCCTCCTCACTGTATATTTTCTTCTCCTCTCCTCTCTTCTCCTCTCCTCACTGTCTATTCTCTTCTCCTCACTGTCTCCTTTACTCTCCTCACTATCTCATCTCCCTTATCTTTTCCTCTCCTCTCCTCTTTTCCTCACTGTCTATTCTCTTCTCCTCACTGTCTCCTTTACTCTTCACACTGTCTCCTCTCCTCCTCACTGTATATTTTCTTCTCTTCTCTTCTCCGCTCCTCTCCTTTTCACTGTCTATTCTCTTCTCCCCACTGTCTCCTCTCCTCTCTTCTCCTCTCCTCCTCACTGTCTATTCTCTTCTCCTCACTGTCTCCTTTACTCTCCTCACTATCTCATCTCCCTTATCTTTTCCTCTCCTCTCCTCTTTTCCTCACTGTCTGTTTTCTTCTTCTCACTGTCTCCTTTACCCTCCCCTCTGTCTCCTCTCTTCTCCTCTCCTCCTCACTGTCTGTTCTCTTCTCCTCACTGTCTCCTTTACTCTCCTCACTATCTAATCTCCCTTATCTTTTCCTCTCCTCTCCTCTCCTCTCCTCTTTTCCTCACTGTCTGTTTTCTTCTTCTCACTGTCTCCTTTACCCTCCCCACTGTCTCCTCTCTTCTCCTCTCCTCCTCACTGTCTGTTCTCTTCTCCTCACTGTCTGTTTTCTTCTTCTCCCTGTCTCCTTTACCCTCCCCACTGTCTCCTCTCTTCTCCTCTCCTCCTCCCTGTCTATTTTCTTCTCTTCTCCTCTCCTCCTCCCTGTCTATTTTCTTCTCTTCTCCTCTCCTCCTCCCTGTCTGTTCTCTTCTCCTCACTGTCTCCTTTACCTTCCCCACTGTCTCCTCTCCTCTCCTCCTCACTGTATATTTTCTTCTCTTCTCCTCTCCTCTATCCTCTCCTCTCCTCCTCACTGTATATTCTCTTCTCCTCACTCTCTCCTTTACTCTCCTCATTATCTCATCCCCCTTATCTTTTCCTCTCCTCTCCCCCACTGTTTCCTCCTCACTGTCTATTCTCTTCTCCTCCCTGTGTTCTGTCCTGTCCTCACTGTCTCCTCTTCCTTATCCTTTCCTTACTATTTCCTTTTCCTCCTCACTGTCTATTCCCTCTTGTCTCTTTTTTTCTCTTTACGGTCTCCTCTTCTCTCATGGAGTAGAGAAGTTGATCGAGGGTTTGAAGTCTCCAGAGCCCTCTTCCTCCCTGATTCTCCCTGACCTTCCCTTGAATGACCCCTTCAGCCCTGCAGACTGTAGTCATGGTAACCAGCCACTTGTCTTTTTATTGTAGTTTTTTTTGGCTATAACCCCACAACCGATACATAGTGTTATTGGCCTTCATTGGTCTCCGTTGGTCTTTTAATGTTGATTGTTTTCTCAGTTCAGCTCAGAGTAACACCTGGAACTCCTGGACGTCCCTAATCGTCCCATTTAATGCCTACTCCTTCTTGTCTGTCCTGTACTTACAACCTCACCGCAGTCTCATCTCTCCACCTGTACAATTGTTGTAAACTTTGTCTTCATCTGTATATATTTAAAAGATCTGGTTTAGAGAGTGCTACTTCTTGCATGGTGTGAATTGATGTCACCTGTACCTTTGCTACACAAAGCATCATATTTTCCCATTTTCTTTTTATATTTCTGCAGCTGGGATGGATTCTCTGATCCCTGGTCTGGATCCTCTACAGACTGATCCTGGGTCAGCTGCACTACCAGGTCAGCAGTTCTGTAAATGTGATTATATTCTTTATCATACAGCGGCTCACTGAAGCATTGAATCTGCTGACATTAGGCTGGGAAAATCTGCAAGGTGTTCTGGATGACATAATTACTGCCAGTTATGAACCTCTGTAGCAGCACAATAAGTAGGCAGCATGGCTGTTAGAATGAAACAAGTTTCCTGTAAAATGGTTATGGTTTTAAACAAACCCTTTACTCTAAGTATTGCACTTTAGTGCAGACCACTACTGAAGCAGAATGTGTTGTCGCATGGTGCTTGATAGATCACAGGTTAGTGATCACAGAATAGCATGTTATCATTTTATTTAGATTGCTTTGACACATTTCCTGCTCTATTTCAGCCAGCAGTTATTAGATTTACTACATTTTCTATGTGCCAGGATACAGCAAGTCCTTTATTCAACATAGTGTTTTTGAAAAAGAGAATCAATAACAGCAGTAAGTCTGTCCACTGATGAAAACAAGCTGATAGGTTCTGCACAATAAGCACATGACCTCACCTAGCAGTGATATAACTTGTCATCGCTTGTTGATGATAACATGTGGAGGGGTTTGGTTGAATGATGAGTACTTAATTATGTTGGCAGCAAAAAGATAGAACCAATGGCACATTGTTGGTCACACTAGGGTGATGACCTACCGAATATCTCTTTAAAAGCTACAAAGTGCTGAGTCACCTTTCCTGAAATTGATGCATGCAATCCAAGTTGGACTGTGTTATTTTCTCTGTTTATATTGTCAGTAGAGCCACCTGGTGACCAAACAGCCAACTACATCCCAGTGTGTATCACGTAACTTCATTGGTTATGAGTCTCCTATATTGTGGGCCAGTTGGCTTTACTTAGTAGTTATTTGTTTCATTTGCATGCATAATTATATATTTTCACTGATATCATCGTGGCCCCCAAAAACTATTTTGAAACTTGGTAGCATTTATTTAGTAGCCATTATTTTTGACTGGAATATACAGTAGTCTTACATTTTCTTTTTACTGAATAATGGGAAATTTGGTAAAAGTTGGATGAATAAATAAGGCTGTACACATGTGATATGGACTAGTGTCTGTGAATATGAAACCACACAATGACTGCTATTTATTCAGATATGAAGTCTCTGCATGTTCTGCGTGAAAGTAAATGTTCAAATTTAATTTACAGTGTTAAATCATAAAAACACAGACTCCAGACAAAAAATACAACGGATAACATAGAACTTCTAGGGAAAAAAAATAAAAAATGATAGGGCACGAAAATTATTGAATTGGTAAAGTTTGCGAATGCAATTTAGACATCCTTTTTGATTATTAACATTTATTTAAACTTTAAAACAGAATCCGGAAAATGGAAAACATCATTTGCGGTAATAAAATATTATTTGGGAAAAAATAAAACAAATTTCATAGATGAATTGCTCTAAACACGCCAACATTTTATGAGTGTGTGCAGTGTCTTTTTACTAAAATGACAGTAGCTGAGCTGAAAGAGTACTGACCAAAAAATGAAGACTACAGCAGTAATTTGTGTTTGTTTTGGCACATTCCGTACACAACATCATGTAAAATCATGCTTTCGGAGAGTATTGTGGGCCTTTTTCACTTCTACTGCAGAGCTTCTCTCTTAGTTCTCACGGTCACTTTCTCCTCGTCCTTTCTCTCTTCATATTCCCTTTTATCTGTCGCATCTAAACTTTGTGGAAGTCTTTTTGTCTAGCACTCTCTCTATTCTCAAGATTCTATTTCTCTTGTAACTCATCTTTCTGTTCTCTGTCACTCTCTATTCTTCACGCTTGCCCTGTGTCCTCCAGAATCTTTGGTTGGACAGGATTCTCTTTTGGATGGGCCGCTTCTCTCCCACCCCTCCACTGGGGGTCTAATACTGGCCTCATCCCCCTCATCTCTCCCTACACCATCTATGGACCAGTTTACTACTACTGCTTTGAGTAGTGGACAGTTCCACCAGGGTAAGAAACATATGCACACTCAACTCATTGCATGTCGTATATGTAACAAGCCATAGGTTGTGAGTTTTGTTTTGTATATTTGGCTTATCCACTCGTCTGGGGATAACACTAATAGCTATGCAAGGTTGATTTTACACATTGCGTCAAAACACACTTGTGTTTTGTGTCATTCTGAGGCATTTACTCCAGCTCTAAACAGTAGAGCATGGCGCTAAAAACATCAACGTCACTGGTTTAATTTCCAGGGAACTAATGCAATGTAAACATGCTAGTTGCATTGGATAAAAGTCTCTGCCAAATGCATAGAGTTTCTATAGTAGACATTAGTGTAAACAGTCTTCTTCCAAGGTCAGTTCAACTACTGTCATAACTGGGCAACAGAAAATGTTAAGTATATTTGTTCTTAATGATATTTACAACTTTTTGTCTCTACTCCTGAACACATCCAGTTCAATGGAACAGATGTTTTGCCACTGTAACACAAGAATGCATGTTAAGTACACTACCATTCATACGTTTAAGCTCAGAAAGGTTTCTTTATTTCTTAAGATTTTTTTTCCTTCCCAGCAATGGTACGTTGAAATGTACACCAAAATATCAAGCAGCACAACTACTTTCAACATTTATAATCTTAAGAAATGTAATTTCTGAAGGATCATAATAACCATATTAGAATAATATAATCTTAACTTATGTATTACATATAGTAGTGATTTATAATTAACATATCATAAGAGTGGCGCGATGCGACAAAATACAATAGAACCCATTATAATCAGTGATACTGTGTGTCTGTCTACACCGGATGCGGAGCGACAAGACAAATCCCAGACAGTAAACTGATGCCTCATTCTCTTTAAGACGTACTAACACAAAGTTCAAATGATATCCAACGGTTGCTTTGTCGCGTCCAGTGTAGACAGACTTTGGGGCCGTTCACATGTCGCACCTAAAACGCGTGGAAAAACGCCAGCCGCGCCGCTTTCTCCTTCTTTCCAAAGCGCTCGGGAGCTTGTGCTTTCGTTGCATCTGCCGTTGCCCTGACCTGCGCTCTCCACAATGACGCGAAAGTGATAAACGGATTTCCAGCACTGAAAATGTATTTAAAATGGGTAACTTATCTCTGTACAGCTGTCGCGTCCGGTGTAGACACCATGTCTGTGTGTGAGCAAAGAAAACAATCAGTATAAATATAACGATCAGTATACTAAACATCGCACATCCTGCCATGTGACTATCGCGGATGCGCACATCGCGATATCGATGCTGAAACGATATATCGTGCAGCCCTACATTCAATTGATCAAAACTGGCAGTAAAAAAATATATATATACATGTATATATACACATTTAAAAATGTTAAATATATGTAAATGTTAAATTTTTTAAATGTTTAAAATTCATCAAAAATCCTGAAAAAATTACACCACAGTTTGATCAAATAAAACATAAAAAATAATAATAAGAAGAATTTCAAAAACATTTTAAAAAATCTCAGTCGCGTCCAGTGTAGACAGACTTTGGGGCCGTTCACATGTCGCACCTAAAACGCGTGGAAAAACGCCAGCCGCGCCGCTTTCTCCTTCTTTCCAAAGCGCTCGGGAGCTTGTGCTTTCGTTGCATCTGCCGTTGCCCTGACCTGCGCTCTCCACAATGACGCGAAAGTGATAAACGGATTTCCAGCACTGAAAATGTATTTAAAATGGGTAACTTATCTCTGTACAGCTGTCGCGTCCGGTGTAGACACCATGTCTGTGTGTGAGCAAAGAAAACAATCAGTATAAATATAACGATCAGTATACTAAACATCGCACATCCTGCCATGTGACTATCGCGGATGCGCACATCGCGATATCGATGCTGAAACGATATATCGTGCAGCCCTACATTCAATTGATCAAAACTGGCAGTAAAAAAATATATATATACATGTATATATACACATTTAAAAATGTTAAATATATGTAAATGTTAAATTTTTTAAATGTTTAAAATTCATCAAAAATCCTGAAAAAATTACACCACAGTTTGATCAAATAAAACATAAAAAATAATAATAAGAAGAATTTCAAAAACATTTTAAAAAATCTCACTGTCCCCAAACGTTTGACAGTAGTGTAATGGGAGTTTGAGGGAATTTTTTTTCTTCTTTTGAATTTGGGTTGAAGTACAACTTGGCTTTTTATCCATAAAATATTCAAGTAAGTGGGAGTCATGCACAACAAAAATAATATATTAAATTAAAATGTAAACTATGACCTTAAAGTAGCATTACAGTGAACATAATTGCGAACATAATTTACCCTTAAGACTTTAAGCTTTTTGGGGCTTTTGTTTTTCTTTCTTGCCATGCTCTTTAAAATATTCCTCTATTCCCACACATAATCCTTACTTTGATGCTGCTCTGTTATCTTTTAGCCTTTTATGCTTTCTCTTTCCTGCTATTCATCTGGTTTTTGCTTTTTCTCTTTCCTCTTTTCTTTTCTCACCCCTCATCCCTCACTCACCCTTCGTCAACATCTTCTTTTCATCCTCATTCTGTCCCACACTTCTCATTTCTCACCTCCTTTCCTTTCTCTCTCCCTCACTCTTTCTCTTTTCCTCTTTCCGTCATGTTCTAGGTGGTCACTCGCGCAGCAACAGTGGCAGTTCTGAGACCAGTCTGCCCTCGCTGGCACGCTCCCTTCTGCTGGTGGACCAACTCATCGACTTGTAGAGGAAACAGAGAGAGAGAGAGAGGCAGATGAATAGAGAGACAGGGAGAGGGCAGCGTGCAATTCTTACAAATATAGCGAGAGCTTAAAAACCTCGATCTGAAGTAGTCCCATAAACCCTGTCCATCCTTGCGCACATTTCCCTTCGACATTCTTTTCACATTTGCTGTATGTCTTTCTTCTGCTGATCCATAAACATTCTCATCACTCTATCATTGATTTATGCTTCAGGATGTCAAAACATGGCAACCAGTGATTATTTATGTCAACTTCCGAAATATACGGCTCAACTAGGAGTGATATCAAGCCGAAAGTCAAAATTCAATTGATTACCGTTCTTTATAAAACGGATGGTTCCGGTCCTTGATTCTGATTGGCTGAGCCACGTTCGAAGCTGTTGTAAATTACACTACAAACACACACCTTTTGATTACATTTGTGTATTGCTCGGCAACCACAACCATTTCTGAGGAACTACATTGATTGGTGGAAGAATACTGTTTTTATTAATATCATTACACTTTATTTGCTCTGTTTTATTTTGTGAAACCTTACTACGTATATGGAGTAACCGTTTTATAAAAGCAATAAGCCCCGTGAAGCTGTGGTTTACAGTGATTTTATAACAGCGTTTCAAAATAAAACGGACTATTCAATGAGACGTAATGCAGGAAGGGATTTGATTTAATCCACTTCAGTTCAAAAGTTTGAGGTTGGTAAGATATTTCGAAATGTTTTCGAAAGAAGTCTCTGATGTTCACCAAGGCTACATTCGTTTGATAAAAATAACGTAAAAACAACAATATTGTGAAATATTATTACGGTAAAGCTGAATTTTCAGCATCATTTCTCCAGTCTTCAGGGTCAAATAATCCTGCAGAAATGATTTAATGTGCTGATTTGCTGCTCAAGAAACTAATTTATTGTTATCAATATTGAAAACCGTAACTCCGCCAATGCATTCAAAATCAGCATATACCTTTTGTTTTCACAAGTCAGCTCTTAAATCATTTATAATTGAATGTCTTTCAAATAAACCTATATTGCATATGATTAATAACATCTTAGCAACACGTGAATGTGCAAAGATGTTAACTTTTTTTTTTTTTAAAGTTACCATGGTATTACCATGTTGTTACCACATTTACTGCAGATTTGTTGTTTAGAGAAATGATCAATTGTTTGGAATTTCAAATTATACATAAACTACAGCAAACCCAGCGTGATTCAAAAATGTATCAATATTTGTGAGAAATTTGATCTGTTTAGGATTACTTTGATGAATCGAACGTTCAAAGGAACAATTTGTTTGAAATTAGATTTTTTATTTTTTTGGGGGTTGCATAAATTTCTTTACTGTCATTTTTGATCAATTAATTGCATCCTTGCTGAATAAAAGTATTGATTACATTCAAAAAAATAATAACCTTACTGACCCCAAACTTTTGAATGATACTGCAAACTTGTGTTAGGTCTTTTGTTAAGACATTGCAGGCGTGTTATTAGTAACAAACCACAGTCTTTAAAAAGCTGATAGCTACCTTAAAATGCCCGTGCCATTAAAACAGAAATGGAGCCTAGCTAGATGTGTTAGCGTTCACATACTTATGTGTTAGTCCTTAAAAGTTGTAAAGTGAAAATGTTCCCACCCACATTATTAGATTTAGTTTATCCTGCAAAGTAGACATCATCACCAGTCAAACACATGAACTGCTGTAAATAAACTAAAAAATAAAAAATTTCCTTTGCAGCTGTTAGAATCTGCCACAGCTGTATTCATCATTTCATTCTTTCATCCCATCATTTATTTTTCAGTCATTCTGTCTCTTCTGCTTCATTCATTTCTTCTTTTACTCGTTCATTTATACCCCATGCTTCTTTTTTCTTTGCTTTTTGCGATGTCTGACAATTATTGTGCGCTGTATTCTGCCTGTGTTTCTGCTCTGGGCCTGTCATGTGAAGGCTGTTTTGGATAAACTTGAATATACAGATAGCGACTATCAGAGTTCTGCAGTTTTGAAAAGATTAAGTGATTCAATAACATTTCATGTATCAAGCTTGAAATGATAAATGTAAATATAAGCTGTTCCAAAACCTCATGAGCTGTGCCTGTAGGCTGCATTTAAGGCGTTATTTATTTTTAGCCAATACGAACCTCTATTTTTAAATCTTAACCTCTTAAGGTTTCAATTAATAGCAGATATGTGTTTGTAAGTTAACTGTGTTAAGTTTAGACTGAGCCTATGAAGGACTGCTCTTCCTGAGGTCTCGTCTACCATGTGACG